CTTTTATTCTATATGAAACAATGTTGTGTTCCGCTGCTGAAGCCCGGCTGGCTGAAAGCAGGTTTCTGGCGTTTTCTTTAGCTTCTATATTTGTAACAATGTTTCTTAAACTGCAAGCTCAGAGGCCGGCAAGGCAGGTGGGGAACGTTGGCTTCCTTCGTCGCTGAAGCAAGCAAGCCTCCTGTTCGCTTCAAGCTGCCTGGCTGTCGGCCGCCATCTTGGTTGGCAGTTAATTTGCATATCACCCTGATTAGCCAATGGGAAGGGTAGCGGAGGTACGGCTAATTACCATGTTTCTCTATTATTAGATAGGACTAGAGGCCCAGTGCATGAAATTCATGCACTTGGGTTGGGGCACCCTCAGTCCAGCCCACGCCCTCTCGCAGTCCGGGAGCCCTCAGGGGATGTCTGTCAGTCGGACATCCTTAACACTGCCACAGAGGCAGGAAAGGCTCCCACCACTGCCGCTGCGCTGACCACCAGGGGACAACTTCTGCATTGAGCGTCTGCCCCCTGGTGGTTAGTGTGCATCATAGCAACCAGTTGTTACACCGTTTGGTTGATTTGTATATTAGCCTTTTATTATATAGGATGAATGGGTTACCAATGAGATCAAGAAAGAAATAAAAAACCTCTTGGAAACAAATGAAAATGAACACACGACAACCCAGAATCTCTGGGACACAGCTAAAGCAGTCTTCATAGCACTAGAGGCCTACCTAAAAAAACAAAAAAAAAACAACAAAAAAAGCCCCCACACATAAGAAAAATTAATAATAAACTATTTATCCTTACAACTTAAAGAATTAGAAATAGAACAACAAGAAAAACTCAGAGTAAGCAGAAGGAAGGAAATAATAAAGATTAGAGCAGAAATAAATGATATAGAGACTAAGAAAAAATATATAAAATCAACAACCTGAACAATGTGAATGAAATGGACAAATTCCTAGAAAAATACAATCTCCCAAAACTGAATCAGCAGGAATCAGAAAACCTGAATAGGCCAATAACAACCAGTGAAATAAAAGCAGTAATAAAACTCCCAGCAAACTAAAGCCCTGATCTGGATGGCTTCTCAGGGGAGTTTTACCAAACATTCAAAGAAGAACTAACACCTATACTCCTCAAAATATTCCAAAAAATCCAAGAGGAAGGAACACTTCCAAGCTCTTTTTTTAAAAATACATTTCTTATTAATATTAGAGAGAAAGGAAGGGGAGAGGGAGATAAAAACATCAATGATGAGAGAGAATCATTGATTGGCTGCCTCCTGCACACCCCACACTGGGGACTGAGCCCTCAACCTGTATGCCTAGGTTTCTCTCTCTCTCTCTCTCTCTCTCTCTCTCTCTCTCTCTCTCTCTCTCTCTCCCTCTCTTTTCCTCATTACATTAGTCCCTTTATCATTTCTGGTAGTGCTGGTTTGGTAGTGATAAACTCCTTTAGCTGTTTTTTTGTCTGGGAAGCTCTTTATTTCACCATTTATTTTGAATGATAGCCTTGCTAGATATAGTAAGCTCAGTTTCAGATCCTTGCTTTTCATTACCTTGAATATTCCATGCCATTCCCTATATTGAATATTCCATGCCAGAGTGTCTGATGAGAAACAGCTGACAGCCTTATGGGAGCTCCTTTGTAGGTAAAAGTTTGCTTTTCTCTTGGTGTCTTTAAAGATTCTCTCTTTGTCTTTAATTTTTGGCATTTTAATTATGATGTGTCTTTACATGGGCCTGTTTGTGTTCTTCTTGCTTGGGACTCTCTGTGTCTCCTTAACCAGTGTGACTTTTCTTTCACCATATTGGAGAAGTTTTCTGCCATTATTTCTTCAAACACATTCTCTATCCTTTGCAAGCTTTCTTCTCCTTCTAGCACACCTATTATGTGACTTGTTAAGTTTCATGTTGTTCGAAAGTTCCCTTAAGCTCTCCTCCTGTTTTTTAATTGTTTTTTTTTTTTTCTTTTTGGTTCTCTGATTGAGTGATTTTTCTACCCTGGAAAAATACAATCTCCCAAAACTGAATCAGCAGGAATCTAATTCACTGATCTGATCCTTGGCTTGCCCTAATCTGCTGTGTATTCCTTCCACTATGTTCTTTATTTGTGCTATATTATTCTTCATAGTTACTATATCTTTTCTCATGTGGTTGAGCATCTTTGCCATCATTATTCTGAGCTCTATGTCTGATAAAGTTCTTATCGCTATTTCATTTAGCTCTTCTTCTGGAGAATTTTCTTGTTCTTTCATTTGTTTTTTGTTTGTTTGTTTGTTTTTTGTTTTGTTTTGTTTTTTGTCTCTCCATTTTGGCTCCCTGTATTAGGTGGATCTGCCATGCCTCCAATCTCTTGTGCAGGACAGTGTCAAATGATGTTTCTGACTAATTAGACCCACCTCTGCCTGCAGATTGATTGGATTCAGTCATTACTAGCCTCAGGCAATGGTCCACAGGTGGGGTGAGAAGTTTTCCAATAGGGTGGAGCAATTGCTTCTTCCTGGAGGCTAATTGTTATTCTCAATCTCTTAATGGGCCTCAGAAACTCAACAGGGTGGGGCAAGAGGTTTTCTAATAGGGTGGGGCTACTGTATTCCCCACAGGCAAAAAGCCTGGATAGCAAAGATCTACCTAAGAAAGTTGCCCTCCACAGCATGAGGGAATGACTCAGCACAGGAAACCTGGGTGCCTGCCTTCTGAGGTCTAACCCCAGAGCCTCCAACCCTGGCTTCTGTTCACAAAGCTCCAGTTCACTCTGCCCTCCCTCTGCTGGAGCACAAGGTGAGTGGCTGCATACAGAATTGGCCCTTTAAGAGGGTGACTGCATTTTCAGCAGTCAGGCAGACAGCCACCCTGCTGTTTTTCATAGCCATGTGAAAAATATGTGGGCACCTTTGTCAGTTCTGATGGTCTCTTCTGGGGGGCACAGCTTGAGAATTCAACCCCAGAGTTCTCAGTGGCAACCCCCCACACCTGAAATATGTCTCTGGAACTTCAGCTGCTGTCTGTGGGAGCCTGGCCAGCTCTTTTGTGCCTCTGCCCTTCCTACCAGTCTGTATGCAGTGTCCACTTTCTGTCCTTGGTTATCAGGGTTCTATCCATCTATTCTTCATTTGATTGTTCAGGATGATTTTTTTTGTATTTATTTTAGTTGTAATTACAATTTGGTCCAGGGAGCATGTCTGTGTAGCATCCTCATTTCCTTTTTAAAAATCCAATGTTAAGCTAAATGCTACTTAAACACATGTCTAACCTTAATGGTACTGACCCACTTGTGGCAGGAAGGAGAGAAAGCCAAGTATTCTTGCCCACCAATTAGGCCTAACACAAGTGTCAGAAGCGAGATCCGACAGTGGCTTCAACAGCCAATAAGATGTAGCCTCATTCTTGCTTGGCCTGATTTTGTGACTGACCAGCAGACAAGTTTCTCCAATGCCTCTTTCAGAATATGAAGCATCTCAAAGCTGTCTGAACCTGTCCCACTGGCCTGTCAATCAGGTTGGTCTGTGATCTTCCTGAATCCTATAAGAACATTTCAAGGAAAACGCAAAGAATATGTAAACTGAATTATGGTCCTCCCGTGGGCTTCCTGAAGCACTGAGGTGTCTGAAAGCTACATATAGTTTCTGGGAAATGACTCTTTTAAGAAATGTAGCACAGCCTTAGCTGGTTTGGCTCAGTGAATAGAGCGTCGGCCTGCAAACTGAAGGGTCCCAGGTTGGGTTCCGGTCAAGAGCACATACCTCAGTTACAGGCTCCTAGCCCTGGTCATGGGCATGGGGGTGGCAACCAACTGATGTGTTCGGTGTTTCTCTCTGTCTCTCCTCCTCCCTTCCACTCTCTCTGAAAATTAATGGAAAAATATCCTCAGATGAAGAGGAAAGAAAGAAAAAAGGAAGGAAGGAAGGAAGGAAGGAAGGAAGGAAGGAAGGAAGGAAGGACAGACACAAGCAATTCTTAAAGAGGTCCTTGCTGAGATGGTAACACTTATTGTGAAAGCACCACATCTGATCAACAGGGGACCTATCTAACCCCCAGCAGGTGTCAATGTTTTACAGCAGGTGACAGGATGTAGACAGTGCTTCCACTATCCGGGAATAAGTCCAGGGCACAGCGTACACATTTCACAGTCCTTTATTGAGATTCAGGAAGAGTCTCGGGCGTGGTCACTGTCCCAGGTTACCCAGGCCTTCCGCTGCATGGGTGACAGCATTTGTGACTGTGTGGGTCACAGTCTCAGTGACTTCCTTTACCACTTTGTCCCCTCTCTCCTGGGCCTTCTTGAAGGCTTCGGCAATGGCTGTCAGCAAGAAAGAGGAATAATGTCTGGGTGAGCAAAGTAAACATTCGAGCCACTTGCTGGGCTGTGTCCCCTGCAGTGGCCTGTGGGGTGTGGCTGTCTTCCTGGGCCATGCCCTGGAGGATCCCCAATGGGATGGAGGGCAACAGAGCTCCTGAGGAATGTGTGCAAATTTTGTTTTATTTCCCCAAACAGCTTGCATTTCTGACTTCAGTTGTGAGTAAGACTGAACACCTGCTCACAGGGTGGCTGCCTGCTCACATACCTTTTCCTATGAACTACCACTATATCTCCTGACCATTTCTATGTTGGGTTATCATTTCCACTACAAATATTTACCCTCAGCTGGTGGTTTTTCTTGGGCTTAGAGTATAATTTTTTTATTATGGAAAATTTGAAGTATTATTGTCAGATTTATCTAACATTTCCTCTATAGTTGTTGGGTTTTCTGTCATAGTTTTTTAAAAAAAAAAAAAGACCCTCCCCACTCTGAGATTATGCTAAAATCTCCTATGCAGTCCTCTAACAATTTAATCATTTCATGTATTTGTATTTAAGTCCTTGATTCACTTGGAATTTATTTTGTTGTAAGGAATGAGGTGTACTTATAGTTTTTACATAGTTATACTCACAGTACACATACACATACAAACATTTATGTAAATATCCTATATAATAAAGAACCAATATGCAAATGGCCATCATGCCCTCATGCCATCACGCTGTAAAGGCTCAGACACTCAACATTGGGGAGAAAAGAATGGGGTCCAGCCAGGCACAAATGAGCTCACAAGAGAGGAATGGGAACCAGCCAGGTTGTGGCCCAGGAGAGGGACAAGCCGCCCTCCCTGTGGTCCTGGGCTCCAGTGCCTGTGCCTGTGGCCCGGGAGAGGGACAAGCCGCCCAACCCACAGTTTCAGGCACCTGCAGCTGCAGCCTGAGCGAAGCCACCCACCCACGGTCCCCTGTGGCTGCAGCCAGCCTGGGCGAAGCTGGCCCAGGTCTTGGGTGCCTGCAGCCAGCCAGAGGGAGGGAAGCCCCGGTCCCGAGTGTCTGCAACTGGCCAGAGGAGTGAATCCTGGGTCCCGGGTGCGGGGCAATGTAGAGGTGGTTAGGGGCAATCAGGCCAGCAGGGGAGCAGTTAGGGGCGATCAGGCCAGCAGGGGAGCAGTTAGGGGTGATCAGGCAGTAGGCAGAGGTGGTTAGGCGCGATCAGGCAGGTAGAAGTGGTTAAGGGTGATCAGGAAGGCAGGCAGAGGAGTTAGGGGAGATCAGGGAGGCAAGTGGTTAGGAGCCAGTGGTCCTGGATTGCAAGAGGCAGTCGGACATCCCTCGAGGGGTCCTGGATTGGAGAGGTTGCAGGCCGGACTAAGGGCCCCCTCCCCCTGCACAAATTTCATGCACTGGGCCTCTAGTGTATTTATATAAGTGTATATTTTTATGTCTTGAATGCCTTGTCCCAGCGAGCTGCCGCACTGCCTTTTGTGAAATAGTCTTCTCAACGTTCCACAGAGAGGCCTGTCAGGCTGGGTCCTGCCTTAGTGAGGTTGGCTCTGTGGCCTCAGATGGTGTGATAATTGCATACCATCCGAAAGGGTGCAGCATCTGGATCAGGGTTTGACCTGCTTAGTCAGAGAACAGGCTGCTCCCAGCCCCTCACTTCCCTCCTCCCCTCCTTCCCAGCCCCCACCATACCTTTCTCTCCAGCCTCCTTGGCGTGCTCCACCACCTCCTTCACTACCCCCTCCACGGCATGAACTGAAAAGGTAAGACAAGCCCAGAGTGAGAGCCCGCACTAGGCAGCTCCTCCTCCCTGCAGGGCTCAGGCAGCTCTGGGTGCTGCCCCAGCCAGGACCAGCTGGCTCAAGGGAAGGACCCTCAGCTTGCTTCTTGAGGAGGATGTTGGGGGGAGGGTCTGGCTGCTGGGAGAGAAGCTGAGTTCGGCAGACAAGAGCACAGAACCCTTCATGCCCCTCAGCCTGGTGCAGCCTGGAATGCCAACGAGCAGGCCCTCCTGCCAGCTAGGAACTGGTGCCAAGGCTGAGCCTGTTTCCCAGGTTATCACACCTCTCAGGTGTGCTGCTATCCTGCCTCAAACCAGATGGAGACATGGAGACGGCAGCCGATGCCAAGTCCAGAGCCTCCTCCAGCAAAACCAGTTCCCCACAGCCGTTCCTCCAGGAGGAGGGGACTGTCTGCCACCTCGGAGTGGTTGAGTGTGAGTGCTCGCCTGCTGGGACCGGAGGAATTGGAGTCAAAGGAACTGGCCCTGATCTTAAACGCCCCTCCACTGCCTGGTGCCTTGTCTGTGAATGGGAGTCATAGGAACGCAGAGGGTCGGTGAAGAAAGGCCGCTCAACACCCGCATAGAGTTAACCACTGAAATAGGGACATATTTGCTGCCATTTAGAAAGAGAACAGCAAACTTAAATGCCAGCTGGTGGACCTGGATCCCCTCCCCAGCAGAGCTGCTGACGTCTGCATGCAAAAAGGGCTTCCGGGGCCCAAAACATTGAAAATGTCCTTTGTGTAAACCCCAGGGCTGACTGAACAGAATCAGACTTAGTGGTTTCTTCTTCTTCTTCTTTTAATTTCAGAGAGGAAGGGAGAAAGAGAGAGTTAGAACATCAATGATGAGAGAGAATCATTGATCGGCTGCCTCCTACACGCTCCACACTGGGGATCAACCCCACAACCCAGGCATGTGTCCTGACGGGGAATTGAACCACAACCTCCTGGTTCATAGGTGGGCAATGTGGTTTCTTAATAGAGAACTCTTTGCAGCTTTAATGTTATGGTAAAAATAACACCTCCTTCCTTTGCCTGTATGGGATATTCAAATTAGGCTGTTGGGATGGGAAGGCTCCCAGGTTTCCAGAGGGAAGTGTCCAAGCTAGCTGCTCGCCCAGCACCTGGGCTCCCCTCCACCCCCACCCCCACCCTACCCGGGGCTTCCTCTGAGATGGCCTCCCTCCTGCCCTCAGCCACAGGGACCCTCCTGGCCTCACCCCAAACAGCCCTCCTCAGCTTCTGCACCCTCTCCCCATCCTATCCTTATGGGTCTGATTGCCCAGAGCTCCTCATGGGGTCAAGGCCTGCCCCTAAACTGCGGGGATCAGCTTTGAACAGGCCCAGGCAAGTGGATCCCCAGCCCCCTGCCTGAGCCCCAGGTCCTTACCGGCTTCCTCGGTGGCCTTCTCAGTGCGGTGGGCCAAGCCCTCAGCAGCAAGCTTCCCCAGGCCTCCCAGCATGGCGCAGCGACCTTGACGACCAAGGAAGATGCTGGGGCCCGGGCCAGCGTGCTTTTATAGCCGCCTCTGGCGGCGGCTGCACTCTGGGGCACCAGCCCCTCACCCGGGCAGCTAGGAGGTCAGCTGTGAGTCAGCGCAGGCGTTGGCAGGAGGAAAAGGCTGGGTGGGGCCACCCTCATACTCTGGCTGTGGCACTGCCCCTCTGGAAGCATGAGAACCCGTGCCCTGCATTCTGGGACCCTGTGGGGTCAGGGACAGGGAGCAGGGCCAAGGCCAGACAAGGTCAGCCTGGGGCTTGCGGCTCCTCCCAGGCAGAGGCCCGAGTGCCTGTGGAGGAAGAGACACGGGCAGCAGCCCTGCCCTCGTCCGCTTCCAGCTCTCCGCAGCCCGGCTCAGGGGGCAACTAGACAAGCCGCGGCTCCAGCCTGCTGCTCAGGGTCTCTGTGTGGCCTAGCCAGGGGCTTGGGATTCCATGGGCCTGGGGACCTGGGTGACCCCTTAGGCCAAGAACACAAGCGGAGTGGAGGCCACTGCCTTCCCACTCCCAGAGCCCAACTCCTCAGCTTGGCTCTCAGCCTCCCTGGGGCAGGTGGGGGCTCCCGGGGGTGCCTTTCGAACAGAGGAGGGTGCATGGAGGCAGGCCTGTCAGCGGTCAGCGGGCCCGCTCTCTAGGGACCTGAGTGCCCAGTACCGGGCAGCCAGCAGCTGCGGGATGCAGCCCTCCCTGCACCTCGGGGCCTGGTCTCTCGGGAAGGCCCTGTGAGGGCAGCAGTGCCCCCCAGGAGGTCCCAGAGGAGAAATGGGGACGCCACACCCCCACCAGGAGCTTCAGGCCCTGGCAAGAACCCCCAGGAAGCCGCCCCACCAGCCCCAGATGAGTCAGTCACAGGCTTAGGGGCCAGGCTGCCGCCCCAGTTACTCAGGACGGCAGAGATGCCTCAAGCCTGTGCCACGTGCTCCTTCTCTTAGTCAATAGCCCCACCCGAGCCTCAGTTTCCTCATCCATAAAATGGGGACAGCATGCCTTCCTGGCCATGTCACCAATAGTTGTTGAGATGATGTGTGCAAGGTCCTGGTAAACTCCTGTTCCTCCCTGTCAGAGCGGCTGTGCCAGGAGGGGCTGCTTGGCAGTGAGCCTGACCCACCAGTGGGCGGGCCAAAGGGTGAGGGTGTGAGGCTGCCTGTAAGCCACAGGCTGGGGGTCTCCACCCCTGGGCAGGAGTCATGGAGGGAAGGTCCTTCAGTGCAGGCCTGGGGCGGGATGCTGAGGCTGCATCCCCCATGGGTGTTCCCTCGTCCCTTGGAGCTGCCCTGGCCCAGGCCTTCCCAGCCCGGGTCCCCAGCACCGCCCTCCCACATTCCTGCGTGGTCCTGGGTGGCCCCCAGGCTGTGGCCAGCCCTGGCAGCAGTGGGACTGTGAGTGGCAGGGACTCTGGGCCACAGGTGGCGTCTCCATTGGCAGGAGTGGTTGGTCTTACTGGGACGACGTCTTCTTAAAAAAAAGAACATAACACTGCAGCTCCTGCGAGTTTCACAAATATGCAGGCTGGGGCAAAAGCAGGGTTCCAGTTATTCATATGGAAAATAATACATTAAATACTAACACAAGAATAGACCCTCGTACTCACAACTGTAACCCGACTTTTGCCCACCGTGTATGTGATGACCCTGTGGACTGGAGGGGCTGGGAGTGTGAGGGCCTTGGAGCACAAGCAGGTCCCACGACTCTGTTCTCGCCTCGTTACAGCCAAATACCAGAATGTTCTGCTCAGGGCAGCCAGGCAATGCCGCCACGGGTGGGGGACTTCTGGGACACGACTGGTGGGAATTGGGCTGAGACCCAGAGGGACGTTCCCTGGCCCATCAGAGCCCCTTTCCTCTTTGCTCTGAGGTTGTCTGTGTCCCCCACCCCGCAGGCTCTTTGTGCCCTTTCCCTCCAGGCCCCACCCTGAGATACGCTCAACAGTCCCCTCTCCTCAGGAGCTTGCCGGCTCCTCCACGGCCCTTGTCAGGACTCGGCCACCCAGCAGAACTGAGCCCATGCCAGCCAGCGCCCGCACCACTACAGCCTGCTGCCCTCACCACGTCCGTCCTCTCCCCGGAGAGCCTGCTCCCCCTTAACACACCGTCCTGGTGTGAGCACCGCACTCCAGTCCCTGCTCCCCCTTCACGCACCGTCCTGGTGTGAGCACCGCACTCCAGTCCCTGCTCCCCCTTCACGCACCGTCCTGGTGTGAGCACCGCACTCCAGTTCCAACACACCATTGCCTGCTCCCCGCTCTTTAGCTGGGAAGAGTCTACCCTCAGGGAGCCATGGGCTGGGCTCACAAGATAGGTCGGTGGTCTCAGCTGGAGCTGAGGCCAAGTGGGCTTGCACCTGGGCCAGAGCACCGAGGCCTGGACTCTGTGCAGCTTGCCTCTCGAGGATCCTTGCTTTCTCCCTGTTGGCATTTGGGATGTGTTTGGACGCAGCCTTGCCCAGAGATCTAGGGCCATGGTGTGTGGGAACTGGAGTGCGGTGCTCACACCAGGACGGTGCGTGAAGGGGGAGCAGGGACTGGAGTGCGGTGCTAGACCCTGCTGACCAGGGCTGGATTCCTGGCAACTCCCTCAAGGAATAACATTACCCTCCCGGACACCTAAAATTAACACAAAGTAAAACTGAATGTAAAGTAATTGAAATATAAAATTAAAAGAAACATTACCTGCCTGGATGAGGTTGAGGATGACTCAGGAGGAAACCAACCGCCCTACCTCGGAAGGGGCCTGGCCCGCTGGCCCGCGGGACCCCTGTGGAGAAACCCTTGAACACAGTCCTGAGTCAGAAGGTCAAGTCCAGCCCTGGGACAGGGAGAATCAGGCATGGGCAGGAGCTAACTAATTCTCCGTGTGGAATTTGCTCAAAAACCCTTTGGCAAAAGACCAGTTGCCTGCATCCAGTCAAGGAGAGCCAATTTTTCAAATAGCAATTTGCTAACTTAGCAATTAGCAATTCGTGGGGGGGGGGGGGGATTATTTGTTTTAAGTGCTTAAATACTTGGGGCCGTCTTATGTCCAAAGCATGACGATTTCTTGTGTGATTCAAACTGGAGATGTCATGGATGTCCTGTTTCATGATTGTCCATCCTGCCTAAGCTTCTCCGACTTCTGCTTCATGCATTTGAGCTCACAGTATATTACGAGCCCACATCTCCTGCACACACTGACCCCTCCCAGTCACTGGGGAGCCAAGCCCAGACCCGGGAGACTAGGTGTGTCAGTCACCAAAGAAGGACTTCCCCAGCATGGCAATACCCACACACCCATGGATGTCAGTCAGGTTCCTGGTGAAAATCAGAGGGCACATCACAGGCGCCTGAGGAGAAGAACTGTTCACATAGGTGGACAGACTTAAGGGAAGGGCTGTGGGATGGAGAGGTGCCAGAGCCCAGCAGTATTGGGAGGCATCACCTCCCTGGACCTGGACGGGCAGGGGAGGGGCTGCACAGACCCTAAGGCGAGCGGTGCCTGCAGGAGAGGGTCACAAGACAGGAACTGCAGCCCTCCGCAGAGAGCACTGCTACCATCACACCCTGTCCAGCAAGGAGGGAGCAGGCTGTGCATCCCTCCCCCTTCCCTCTCCAGCCTCCTACTGCTATTTCCCCATTAGCCGAATCAGCTGAGGCTGAGGCTGAGGGAGCCTGGGCAATGCAGTTCAAGAGGGAATGTTCCCGGGGCTCAACCACTGAGCCACACTGCCAGCCATCAGCGGATCCTATGTGCAATGATTATTTCTGTGGTGTTTGCCTAGTGGTGACTGACTATTTCCCATTTCTTCTACATTAATAAATTAATTAGAATTCTGCAGTCAAAGTTGCCCATTCTCCACATTCATTTTAATCCATTAGTTACTCATATCAGTATGGATTCATGAATAGAATATTTATCTTATTCTATAGGTTAAAACCCAATACTGTCATTATTTATTTTGTGACTCAAATCAATCCAGCTTGAGCCATTAGAAACTCCTTCAGTTTGGCTCTGGTGTTCTTTCAATAACCCCCCATCTTTGCTGTCTGTCTGTCTATTTATCTATCTATTGATTGATCCATCGATCTATCTATCTATCTAATCTGTTTTAGCATTGCCTTACTTTCTGGCACTACAAGGATGTTCCAGGCTAATCCTGTATTTCCCCCACTCCAGCCCTACAGTCAACTACTTCTCCTTGGAGCTCTGGTTCCTTTTATTAGAGAATGGTATTAGAGATCAAGATTTGGGTGAGAGGTATGCTCATTGCTCCTAGGAACTTCCAGCAGATAGATCTAGGAAATTATATATATACTAACCCTTTCATATATATATATATTTGCATCTATTGGTATTTATAATTAAAAACCATGAGTATGTATTGATACCTCAGATTCTAGTCCAACACCACTGGATTCAATTTAGTGTTCCCCATTATTTGTAATTTCTTTCTGCAATAATTATAATCTACATTATAGCTACTATGCATTTAATTCTAGTATATACAGGAGTACCCCACCTTATTCACAGTTTAGCTTTCTATGGTTTCAGTTACCCATGGTCAAACTTGGTCCTAAATATTAAATGGAAAATTACAGAAATAAACAGTTCCTAAGTTTTATGATGTGGCACCATGCTGCCCAGCATTTCCATGAAGAGTGCTGGTCCTGGCAATTAGAATATGCCGAAGAGAAGCCATAAAGTGCCTCTCTAAGTGAAAAGGTGTGTGTGTATAGGAAAGACATGGCATACATAGAGTTTAATACTCCCTGTGGTTTCAGGCATCCAATGGGGGGGGGGGCGGTCTTGGAACATACCCTCCATGGATAAGGGGTCGTATAAATATTGGTTCAGAACTGCTAACCCACAATACTGTGAGAAACACATTTACTGGCCCGATTACAGGATTTATGTAGTTATTTCTGCCTTTAGCCTTAGAGAATCCAGTCAATACAGTCATATGCCACATATGACATTTCAGTTAATGACGGGCCACGTCTGTGATGATGGTCCCACAAGACTATAATGGAGCTGACAGATTCCTGTTGCCTAGTGACCTGGCAGCCGCCTACCATCACAGTGCAATGCATTCCTCACGTGTTTGGGGTGATGCGGTGTAAACAAGCCTACTGCGCGGCCACTCCCCGAAGAGTACAGCAATCTAAAACAAGAAAGAAACCAGACGGCAACACCCACTTTGCTGCCTTAGGGCAAACAGACAAACCATGTCTAGAGGGGACTCCGAGTCAAGTGGGGCTGGGAGACTATAAGCAGCCTAAAGCAAAAAAATAAAAAAAGTACAGCACATGCAAGCATGGGCGGTGCACAGCACTTGGCAGTGGTGATAAATGCCTGACTGGCTTCCGCACCGCGAGGCTATCCTTTCCACCACCATTGCAGAAGGCACCCTTCCTACTTGTACGCACAGCTTCCTGGACCAGCGCCAGTGGGTGCGCGGCCGCTGGCGCTGGATTTAATCTCTGATGTTGGTGCAGCGACGCGTGGTGCAGCCTGCGGCCCGAGCAACAGCAGCCCACGCGGGGCGCGCCCTCCAGCTGCGCGCGCGCCTCTGGGACGCCCCCGCGATGCCATGGCCTGCGGACGCCTTTCCCTCC